ATATATATATATATAGATATATATATATATATATATATATATATATATATATATATATATATATATATATATATATATATATATATATATATATATATATATATATATATATATATATATATATATATATATATATATATATATATATATATATATATATATATATATATATATATATATATATATATATATAGATACATACATACATACATACATACATACATACATATATATGTATGTATGTATATATATATATATCAAGATGTAAAATCCCTCCCTGAGTGACTCGAGTCACCAAGACCAGAGCGTTAATAAACCGGGTTTACTTAGTAAAACATTATTTACTTAACTTTTCATTTTGATAATGAAAGAGTTCACGATTATTCGCATAAGCATAAAGTTAAAAAACGTTCAAAGTAAATACAACCTTGGGTTCAAGCCCAATTAATCCGACGTAAAATAAGTTCAACGATTTATTCATTATTAAATATTAAAGAAGAACGTAACTCCTTTTGCACGGTATCCATGTCTTTGCTTCCCTTCTCAACAGTTGTTCCCTTTGCTAGTACTTGTGTGCAATAAACACTACACGCTTAGGATAAAGATTGGTGATAAATAACTTGTAGACATATATAACATGTAAATATATTTTAAGGCATTTTAAGTTAATCATTTTCAAATACTTTTCACATATTTTATATCATGGAGAAAACGTTCTCACTTTAAAATACTCCCTCCGTCCGCATAGATTTTCTCGAATACTATTCACATGGTCAAACTTAACTCACTTTGCTTATTTTTACTACTCATTTTATAAAGCAATATAGTCTTGTCACCTCTAGTTTTGTAGAACTTTTTCATTTAGTTTTTTGATATATAAATTTTATTTTTAAATTTTACCCTTATAATCAAATAAATTGAATTGAAAATAAAGTTGGTCTAGCCTCGTAACGCGTAATGCGAAGCTGTGACTATGCTGGAACCCCGAACTAGTCGGAGGGAGTAGATACTTGGGGACATTTAAAAAACTATTGACCTTCCTAGGTTAACCTTAAATTAGAGACTGAGTTGTGACTATGCTGGAACCCCGCATTAGTCGATACATGGTTTTATTTCAAATACCTCCCCGTGATCTCGGGCGCAGTAATCAGAAGTCAACCCTAGACCCACGGGGTCATCGTTGGATTCTCGTGAACACGTTGTTGTATGATTATTTGCAGGCTTATCCACTTGGACACATATGATCCGGCCTTATAAAGTGGTTTGACCCACTTAATAGAACGTGACAATACTTGGTCAGGGTACGCCGTTAAAATAAACCTTGAAATTTTTACTCCGTCCACTAACGGTTCGATTAACATAGTAATGTCGTTTCCATCGATAACTTTATATGTCTTAATCATTCTCAAAATCCTTATTAGGGGTGGACACGGTACCGGTACGGTACCGTGACCGGAAACAGTACCGCCGGTTTTTGTACCGTTACCGTCGGCCGGGACGATCCACCGGTTCCGGGAACCGGTACCGGTACCGCCCACTTCGGTACCGGTTCCGGTGCCCATTTTTCGGTACTGGCACCGGCGATACCGGTTCCGGTATCGTAATTATTATTTTTTTTATTTTTATTTTTTTATTTCATTCTTTCTTTTATCAATTTCATTTTTAGAGTTTTTTATTTCATCCTTTCTTTTAACAATTACACATTTACAATTTTACACTTTAAAAATTTAATAAAAAAGCAAAAAAAAGGAAATTATGGGTGGCCGAAACGGTACCGGAACCGCCAGTACCGGAACCAGTACCGGCCAATCCGGTACCGGTACCAAGGGGTGGCGGTACCGGAACCGGCGGTTCCGGAATCAGAACCGTACCGTGTCCACCCCTAAATTCCTTATACGATCTCGTCCCCCTTTTTGTAATAAAACATCACGCTACTGGACGAGCAAATAAAAACATCAATTAGACATTAAAAACATGAAAGTATACAAATATATTCATTGGTCAATCATATAAACCCTATTTGTAAATTTAAGGAAACAAACATAGTGATGGGAACCAAGCCCATCGAGAGAGTACTCGCGAATTGGGCCTAGGCCCAATTCCGATCCCGTCCATCAAAAGGAGCATCCAGCCCAGGTAAAATGTACCAGGCCGGTCACAGGAAGGTTGTCCGTAGAGAAAGATAGGAAAAGGAAGAGAGGTGGGGCTTAAAGATGGGCTGGAGCCAGCCCATTAAGGGTAAGCCCCCACAAAGAGAGGAATCCTATGAGAAGTTTGGGGAGTCCCCCCTTTCACTTGAGGGGACAAAGACGAGGAGAAAGAGACGGACGAAGGACAGGAAGCAAGAGATGGACGGAAGGGTTTGTCCTCCAGTGGACGATCTCAAGTGGAGATACACTCCCCCTGGAAAGAGCAAGGCCGGCGCGGATGTCCTCCCCAATCACTGCTATTACTGTAGAAGATAGCCGTTGGGGAGCGCCTATAAAACGGAGAAGGATTGAGGGATTAAGAGGGGGGTGAGAAAGAGAGAAAATACTTGAGTAATAATAAAAGATTTTGACGGTCCTTAAGCATATTCCATCCCTGAGAGGACTGAATAAAGGAGAGGACCACCGGTCTTAGTTCTTGTCCGTGAGCAGTGTTTCCATTACTATTACTTACTATTCTCGTATTATTCTTTCAATATTATAAGGCCCGGACACCTATATTTGAACCCGGGCCGATCCACAATACCGAGGAAAATATTGGGCATCCATCACTGGCGCCAACCGTGGGACCGATTGAAGCTTCCTAGCCGTCTGGGGAGTTGATAGAGAGCCTATCTCATTCTTGTTCACCTGGAAAGACCTCTTCCTAGACCTAGGAAGAAACAGCGGTCCACTCCAAGTGAAGGAGATAAGTTCGCTGTCCATCCAGAAGGGCTTCTCATATTAGTCGGTCCATTATTAAAAAAAAAGAGAGGGAAAGGAGGATCGACCCTCTACAGAGGACCGCATTCACAGGTCAATCACACAGGAGGACCGATTTCTTGCTCAGGGGCCGTTATCTCACGTTGGCCCACCTTTTTTTAAAAAAGAAGGATTCCAACGGTCACCATGGGAAAAAACCGGTCCAGGAGGAACAAAATGGCTGCTAAGGCGCGAACCAACTTGGAAGGGAAAGAGAAGCTTTCATCTCAGGATCTCAGACACCAAATAACTCTCTCCCAATCCAGGCGTGAAACACAAGACAAATCTTGTGAACAGAGTTTCCACTCCAAAGCCCCTAAGAGTTCTCATCCAAAGGATTCTCAAGCAGCAACAGGAAAATTCGACGAGAACTCCCCCATAGTACGAAAGTTAATCGGATGGCTCAACAAGGAAGGAGAGGCCCGGTCCCAAAGGACCGGGAGAGAAACGGGCCAAGAAGAGGATGAGGAGGCGGAGAGTCAAGGGCGCGTATCAGTACACAAGAGGATGCACAGAAATGCGTCCCAAAGGTTGGGACCCAGAACTGAGGAATCTGGAGAAAATTCTGGGGGACACGACAATGAAGATGCCGGAGACATTCTCAAATTGAGAAAAGAAATGGAGGAACTAAAGAGGCAGGTTGACAAGGACGGGTCTTTTGGACCCACAGTGGAGATAATTTCTCCCTTTACTGCCAGAGTGATGAAAGCTCAACTGCCCAGGGGTATGAAAGCCCCTGAAATCCATTATAAAGGAGTCACCGATCCTAATGATCACTTGGCCGCGTACCAAACTCACATGTTGATGCACGCCGTGGAGGACGAGATCCAATGTCGTCTCTTCGTAGGAACCTTGGAGGGGCCGGCCGTAAAATGGTTCCTCACCCTTCCTAACAGGACCATTGATTGCTTCAAAGATCTTGCTCAAATTTTCCTCAACACCTACGGAGGAAGGTTCCAGCCAAAGAAGCACTTCACCCATCTTTTCTCCCTAAAGCAAAGGGAGGGGGAGACCAACAGTGAATTGGTACAAAGATGGAATGAAGCAATCAATGAGGTGGAGCCTATGGACGATAAGACTTCCATTGCTCTGTTCATGAATGTTCTCAGGTCGGGAGAATTGTTCAGGAAGTTAGATTACGATACCCCTACTTCTTACAAGGCTATGATGGCTAGGGTTAACAAGTTCTGCGCCACGGAAGAGTCGGATCGCCTGAAAGGAAAGAGTGAGGGAGCCTTGCAAAAAGGTCCCGACAAATAAAAGAAAGGAGAAAAGGCCAAGGCAACCACTCTTTCCATCCCTACCCTCAAGTCACTAGCCGCACCGGTGGCAGAAATTAAGAGCAAAGAGGAAGGTGGACAGAAGAGGAAACGTGGAGACCAAAAAAGAAGGCAGTGGCCCTATGACCCAGAAAAATATTGCAACTTCCATAGAAGGCCCGGACACGCCACGGAGGAATGCCATTTCCTCAAAAAGATGGAAGGAGAGATGAAAGACAAGGAGCCAAATGCTAATCGGCAGCCGAACCAAGGAGGTAATGTTTGGCGTAGGGACGCCCAACCTTAACAACAAGTCCAGGAGAACCCGGAGGAATTTCCCCAAGGAGGAGTCATCTTTGGCGGTCCAGAAACGGGAGTCACAAGCAAGAAAAGGAAGGAATGGGCTCGCAAGCTATATGTGGGGTCCATTGACATAGGTCAGGCGGCCAAGAGAGGAAGGAGGGAGCCCATTGTCTTCTCAGACGAGGATTTACCCTTCATCCCTAGTCCTCATTGGACTCCCCTGGTAATTTCTATGGCTATTCATAAATTTTTTGTCAAAAGAATATTGGTGGACACGGGAAGCAGTGTCAATGTGTTGTACTGGGAGGCGGCCCAGCAATTGGGAATCAGGAAGGAAGATCTCACAAAACTTAACATGCCCTTGTCCGGTTTCACTGGAGACATAATTGAACTGGAAGGATCCATTAAATTGGACATCATCATAGGCGAGCATCCTATGGTGAGGCATATGAGGATGGATTTTGTAGTGGTTGATATCAAATGCACTCACAATGCCATCCTAGGGAGGCCTGGGCTAGAGGACTTGGGAGATGTACTATCCCTTGAGCACCTATGCCTCAAGTTTAGGACTCCCGAAGGTGTTGGGAGGGTCCTTGGTGATCAACCCGCAGCCAAGAAGGCCTATCTAAGTGCCTGCAAGAGAATAGACAAGGAGAATCTCAACGTCCAAACCATTGGGCAAGCTTTGAAAGGAGAGAGGAGGACCGGGAGATGCCTAAGCCAGCTGTGGAAATGGAACAAGTGGTGCTATTCCCTGAGGGGGATCAAGAAAAGGTTGTGAGGATCGGTTTAGGGCTAGAGGAGGATACCCGTGGAGAGATTATCCGAGTACTAAGAGAAAACTCGGTCCTCTTCGCGTGGGAATCCAAGGATATGCCCGGAGTCGATCCCTCGGTCATTTGCCATAAGTTGAACATCAAGGTAGACTCCCTCCCGGTCAAGCAGAAGAAAAGGTATCTGTCCACGGACAGAAAAGAATTTGTGAGGAAAGAGGTGAAGACCCTTTTGGAGGCCGGCCACATCAGGGAGGTCCAATATCCTAAATGGCGCGCTAATGTGGTGCTGGCACCAAAAAGGGACACCTTTCGCATGTGTGTGGACTTCACTGACCTCAATAAGGCATGTCCTATGGACCCCTTTCCCCTACCAAGAGTAGACCAACTGGTAGATGAAACGGCGGGCCATGAACTATTGAGTTTTATGGACGCCTTCCGAGGATACCATCAAATTTTCATGCACAAAGATGATGCGGAATCCACAGCCTTTATCACCCCTGAAGGAGTATATTGTTACGTGGTCATGCCTTTTGGGCTGCGTAATGCGGGGGCCACATTTACGAGAATGATCTCTTTATTATTCAAGGAGGTCCTGGGACAGATCATGGAGGCTTATGTGGATGACTTACTGATCAAAAGTAAGCAGGCAGCGGACCATCCTCAACAGTTGGAGAAATGCTTTAACATCATGGGAAAGCATAATTTGAGATTGAACCCCAAAAAATGTGCCTTTGGGGTCCAGGGAGGAAAATTCCTTGGTTACATGGTGAGCAAGAAAGGGATTGAGGTCAATCCGGACAAGTTGAAGGCCATCCAAGACATGGAACCACCAACGAATTTGAGGGAAGTCCAGAGATTAGCGGGGAGGATAGCAGCCTTAGGAAGGTTTTTGGCGCGATCCGCGGAGCGGTCCTTGCCCTTCTTCACGATTTTAAAGGGAGGGGGAAATTTCCAGTGGACCGCAGAGTGCCAAGAGGCCTTTGAACACTTGAAGGCATATTTGAGCTCTCCACCGGTCCTCTCCAAGCCATTGGCAGGGGATGTCCTTTTCTTATACTTGAGGGTGGCCCACCTGGCAGTGAGTTCGGTCCTCTTGAGGGAAGAAGAAGGAGTCCAAAAGCTAGTTTATTACACGAGCAGGGCCTTAAGAGGACCGGAAACAAGGTACACTCCCTTGGAAAAAAGTGTTTTGGCGGTTGTGGTAACTGTCAAGAGGTTGACTCCCTATTTCCAAGCTCACCCAGTGAGAATCATGACGGACCAGCCTTTGGGAGCAGTTTTGAGGGACCCATCTTATTCGGGAAGGGTCATGAAGTGGGCCATGGTCCTCTCTCAATATGATATTTCTTACCAGCCCCGTTCTGGCAAGAAGGGCCAGGTCATTGCAGATTTTATGGTGGAGTGCACAGCAAGAGGGAAGCCAGAAGAGGATGGGACCGGTCAGGAAAGAAAAAAGGAGATATGGGAGGTTCATTCAGACGGATCTTGCACTAAAGACGGTTCAGGAGGAGGAGCGGTCCCCACCTCCCCCGAAGGCTTCAAGGCTTATCATTCCTTCAAGTTCACATTTCGGGCCACCAACAATGAAGCGGAGTATGAAGCCCTCATTGGAGGAATCCAGATTGCCCTATTCATGAAGATAAATCGCATTCGCCTTAAATCCGATTCAAAATTGGCCATCGGACAGCTAAAAGGAGAGATGGAGGCCAAGGAAGGAAGGTTGAAAAGATACAAGGATTGCGCCAGGACTCTACTGGGACAATTTGAGTATTATGAACTCATATATGTTCCAAGGGAGGAGAATGAGGAAGCGGATATGCTTGCCAAATTATGTAGAACCATTCCCGTCCACATGGAAGGTATGGTAAGACAGCATGAGAAGACTTGTCCTGTTTGGGAAGAGGCGGTCCCTGTCCTTGAGATATCCGGTCTAGGTACAACTTGGATGAGCCCCCTGATCACATACCTTGAAAAGGGGAAGCTCCCTGTTGACCCCAAGGAGGCCCGCAGAGTTCAATTAATGGCTCCCAAATATCAATTGGATGGAGGGAAATTGTATAAAAGGACCTTGGGTGGACCGATGCTCAAATGTTTGAGTGAGAAAGAAGCAAGAAGAATATTGGAAGAAGTACACCAAGGAGTCTGCTCTGCCCATCAAGGTGCCCTCACTCTAGCCAGAAAGGTGGTACTCCAGGGGTTCTATTGGCCCACTTTGAAGAAGGATGCGCTGGAATTGGTAAGGAAGTGCCCAACTTGCCAAGTATTTGCACCAATCCCTGGACGCCCGTCCACCTTTTACACCCCAGTCACCACGGCCATCCCCTTTGCTAGATGGGGGTTGGATTTGGTGGGTCCCTTCGTCCAAGGGGCTGGAAGGAAGAAATTTGCGATTGTGGCAATAGATTATTTTACCAAGTGGGTTGAGGCGGAGGCCCTCGTGAAGATCACTAAGGAAAATTGCTGTAAATTCATGTGGAAAAATTTGCTGTGTAGATTTGATGTACCTGAGCAAATCATAACGGACAACGGCACCCAGTTTGCCAACACAAGTTTCAAGGAGTTCTCTGATGCATGGAAGATTAAACTCAGTCGGGCCGCTGTAGCCTACCCGCAATGCAACGGACAAGTGGAAAATGCTAACAGAACGATTGTGGACGGTATCAAGAAGAGATTGCATGAATTGGGCACGTCATGGGTGGAAGAGCTGCCCTATGTGCTGTGGGCCCATAGGACCACTCCGAGGAGAGCCACAGGAGAGACTCCCTTCGCCTTGGCCTATGGCTTTGAGGCAAAGGTGCCAACCGAGGTCTTGGTCCCTAGTACAAGGGTGGAGGCATACACCCCGATCCTCAACGAGCAGTTAATGGAAGTGGATTCCCACTTCATGCAAGAAAGGAGGGATGATGCGGCGATAAGAGCGGAAGAGTACCAGCGACAATCTAAAAGATATCACGACAAGAAAACCATACTTCGAGCGTTCGAAGTGGGCGATTGGGTCCTACGTAAAAGGGAGAAGAGTCAGCCTACTAAAGGAGGGAAACTGGCCCAGAATTGGGAAGGACCGTATCGCGTGGAGAGAGTGGTGCATGTAGGCACCTATCAACTCGCTACTTCTGAAGGAGAAACATTGGACAATTACTGGAATGTAGAGCACTTAAAGAAATTCTACCAGTAGGAGCGGGTCTGTCCGAGTTTCTATTCCGTTAAAAGCATTCTATTTTAGGGTGTTTTCTTTCTCTCTTTTTTTGTTGAAAGGGGCTGTACGTTGCAAAAAAGAAAGGAAAGGGAGTTTTCTGTCCATAATCTGTCCATATTCCGGGCGCTCGACGCAAATAGAGTGCCGAGATTTGAAATCCCTCAGCTCCTTTGATAAAGCAGCATTGCGGTCCAATAGGCGAAGGGAATGGCGCTGAGCAGAGGAAGTGGCGACGTAATCGGCCTATCAAAAGAGGAAGAAAGTAGAGGTTAGCAGTCCCAAATAGCATGAAGGAATAAATGGAAGACTTAAAATGAAAAGGAGGGGAACACTTACCATACGAGTATACTCCTCCTGCATAAACGGCCAGACTGGGCTGTGAATCACATCTGGATGGTCCCTTTTAAGCTGTTGTATCGCTTCAAGCTTGCTGTTGAAGTCCCGTCCAACCCAAGCTGTGTACCCTGTGTACTGATAGGCCTCCCGGGCATAGGGAAAGGGCTGACTCCCTTGCCCGGTAGGGGACCCATCGCCAGCGGTCCCAAAGAAGTGATCAGCGGTCCCCATGGAAGGACTGGCGGACACTAAAGACCCTGGGAGAGGAGTAGAATTCCGGCCCCTCTTGTGATGGGCCTGAGAAGAAGAAGAAGAAGACCCGGTCTCCTGAGTTGACGGACCGGGAACAACAGTGGGACGGGCGGATGAGGGGACAATAGCCTTCCCAAAACTGGAGGACCGAATTAACTCCTCCGTCTCCCTAAAAGATCGATGGATATTCGCTCCAGGGAGAGGAACACCGCCTTGACCAAGGGGCATCCCAAAAATGCTCTCCGCCGCTGACTCTGCAAAATTTAGGGCGGTGGACGGTTCGGGCTAGGAAATTGCCTCATTCCCCCCGCAGCCGAAGGAGGGGGAATATTCCCATGGAGATTCAGTGCTGCACAGAATCCCAATCCCGGCCACCTGGACATGTGGCGGTTCAAGGGACCCTTGTGAACCGGTGGTGCGCCCAATGGGCATGGTCCCACTGGGGTGAGGATGGAAACCCAACGGGCCCATGAACTGGGCAGAAGGAGAAGTCCCCCTGCCAAAAAGAGGAATATGGGGAACACCGGGGATAAGACCGGATCCCCTCAAGGTCCCCGGAGGGAAGTCATAGAGGCCATCATCGTCGGACGCGTCCTCGACCACCACCTCTTCCGAAAGACGAGGGCGGTCAGCAAGCAGCATAGGTTGGGTCCCAGTCACGGACCCAGCCTCTTCGCCATCGATGTCCTCCTCCAGGGAGGGATCCCTTCGAGAGGATTGCCGGCGGAGTCGAGTCCTCCTAAAAGGAGGAACCCAAGAAGAAGTGGTATTTCCCGACGGCTCTTGAGAAGGAATTTTAGGAGACACCCAATATCCGAGACCCCGGAAGTGCGAGTCCTTGAAGAGAAGCGCTCGGGGAACCGAATAGCCGTTCTTAAGGAGGAGACGGTAGATCCTATCGAGCTCCGAATCACGCGTAGGAAAAGTATGAGAAGGAAATTTGTCTTCCTTCTTTCGCCACACATTGGGGAAGGGGAGGTCCTCCGGGACTACCACCACGAAGAAGCGGCGGAACCAGTCATCAAGTTTGTCAATGGGGCTGTCCAAAAACTGCATATCGGTCCGAGCCGTGAAACTCACGTACTCCCGCCCGACTCACTATCGTACTTGTGCGGGCGGAAGAAAGAGAGGAAGAGCTCCAGAGTGGGTTGAATGCTTCTCTTATGACACCGCGCCAAGAAGCCAAAGAGACTCTCGTGGGAGTTCGAGGAGATCTGGCCGGGAGGTATGGCGTAGCGGTTGCAAAGTTCAATCAAGAGGGGATGGAGAGGGAAGCGACATCCCATCCAAACCGAGTCGTAGTGGACGACCAATCGGCGGGAGATGTCAGGATTGCGCTCCAAAGTAGTACCCGTGGCTTCCTGGACGCCATAATCAGGAGGAATGACTCCCCTCATATCGCCCAATTGCGCAGGAGTGATGGAGGAAACATTCTCGTCCTCCTTGGATTTCTTGTCGCCATTGAAGATCTTGGAAACCATGGAGATTGTCTTCTTCATGGTGAGAGAGAGTAAAGGTCTTGGGAAGAAGAGAGGATGATTCGGCAGGGATAAAGGCAGGAGAAGTGAAGAGTTGCGTGTGAGCGTGAAGAAGGAGAGGGGAGAGGGACCGTATTTATAGAGAAAGAGAAGAGAGAGAAGAAACGGTCCACCCTCAATATCTCTTTGCAACGGTAAGAATCTCGAATGGCACCTGTTTCGAAACGGTCCACTCTGCCGATTTCCCAGTTCTGCGGTCCTCTGTTGCTTTCCTTTTTCCTGTTACGGTCCCACAATCATAGATGGGTGGGTACCTTGAATTGTGCGCAGTAGAACGGCCCTATGCAGCAATTAAGGGAATTAGAGGAGCTGGTCAAAAAGGGTTTGGAAAAATGGGCCATGGATATTTAAGTGTCACAGACTCGCAGCGGTCCTTTCGTGCCTTTTCCCATGCACACGATCCACGCCCAATTTATTCCTCTACAAACGGACCACCATTATTGGTGTGCAGGGACTGTTCGCATGACCAAGCAGCCATTGGACAGAACCGTGTGTGGCCACAAGCAGTTCACTCGACCAATTACACATCCTGGCCCGCAAGGACGTACTGTGGGGAATATCATCTGGAGTGAATACAAGTTAAACTTTGGGGCCTTCCCCAAAAGGAGAATCTTCGTCAGAAAATGAAAAGATGACAGAGGAAAAATTCCCCCAAGGAAGCATGCGAGGAAGACTACAGTCAAAAAATTTTTATTTTTTGACTTGTAAAAAAGGGGCATGTGATGGGAACCAAGCCCATCGAGAGAGTACTCGCGAATTGGGCCTAGGCCCAATTCGGATCCCGTCCATCAAAAGGAGCATCCGGCCCAGGTAAAATGTACCAGGCCGGTCACAGGAAGGTTGTCCGTAGAGAAAGATAGGAAAAGGAAGAGAGGTGGGGCTTAAAGATGGGCTGGAGCCAGCCCATTAAGGGTAAGCCCCCACAAAGAGAGGAATCCTATGAGAAGTTTGGGGAGTCCCCCCTTTCACTTGAGGAGACAAAGACGAGGAGAAAGAGACGGACGAAGGACAGGAAGCAAGAGATGGACGGAAGGGTTTGTCCTCCAGTGGACGACCTCAAGTGGAGATACACTCCCCCTGAAAGAGCAAGGCTGGCGCGGATGTCCTCCCCAATCACTGCTATTACTGTAGAAGATAGCAGTTGGGGAGCGCCCATAAAACGGAGAAGGATTGAGGGATTAAGAGGGGGGTGAGAAAGAGAGAAAATACTTGAGTAATAATAAAAGATTCCGGCGGTCCTTAAGCATATTCCGTCCCTGAGAGGACTGAATAAAGGAGAGGACCACCGGTCTTAGTTCTTGTCCGTGAGCAGTGTTTCCATTACTATTACTTACTATTCTCGTATTATTCTTTCAATATTATAAGGCCCGGACACCTGTATTTGAACCCGGGCCGATCCACAATACCGAGGAAAATATTGGGCATCACATAGCAACTTTTTTTTTATAGTTATAGGCACTCTCGGCTTTAAACAAAAACAATTAAATGAAACAGAATTTTTTTAAGGCTAAAAGTATCTCTATTCGGACCATGTTGTAGTTTACACCTAATTGTCTCGAAAACAAGAAAAGATTTTTTTTATTTGTGTTTGCTTTTAATCATTTGCCCTTTTTCATATTGTACCGAGTATTACATACTCCCTCCACAAATAAACTTTCCGTTGCGCGTTATGATGTTTGACTGAACTTATTTTTAAATTATTTTATATGAAAAATGATGTAAAGTTTAAAATTAAAAATTACATATTAAAAAACTATATCAAAAGATCTACAAAACTAGATGTGACATGACTATATTATTTTATCAAATGGGTGACAAAAATAGGTCAATAAAGTGAATAAAGTTTGACATTGTGAATAGTGAACGAGAAGTTTATTTGTGAACGGAGGGAGTAATACACAACAAGTATAAAGCAATCATAAATTAACACTAAACAAATTCTTTTTTTAACTTAATATTCTGTTCATCTTCATCTTTTTTTTAATTATTTGTTCTGTCAAACTGTATATATGAAAGAAAAAATGTTGGAATTTTTGGCATTTTTAATAAGCATTAAATGGACCAACTGAGGTATATTTGTCAATAGGTCCACTAACGATTTTAACCGTTAATTAATGGACGTGTTTTCTCTTAAATGAGATAAATGTTTTGACAAATATTACGCCAAAAGTGGTAGAGGGTGAATGAGAAATTGATTTTCAGAGTTAACCCGTTAATAAAAGAATATGGTGAGGATTGCAATTTTTGCAATTTTACTGAATCAATCTTCTTTTATTAATTTTACGTATTGTTTAAAATTAGTCCATTTTTACGGAGTTAAATGACCATTAATCTCCAATTATTTGGGACAAATTTTAAACGAAGCGTAGCGTAACAGACGTGTTAATGGCTAATTAATCACCATTAACACACCACAAATGCCATGATTAATTTCAATGGTTAATGGTGGGAGTTACATTTTTTCTAAACTCCTTGATTATAAAATTCAAAGCTCACTCTTTTTTCCCTTGTGTGCCTTGCGTGAGAAAGAGAGAAAGGAAAAAATAAAAAACATTCTTTTTTTGTTTTCTTTTAAAGAAAGCTCTTGATTTTCCGGCCATCCCCTTTAAAGTTTTTGGTCGCCAACGTTTCTACGTTGTTCTTTTTCGTTGGTGTGTGGTTGGTCCGTACAATCTCCACACACGATAGCAGTTTTATCCTGGGAGGAGAGTGCCCACGTTTTCCGGTACGGTAGGCGGGCACTACTACCTTAAGGACAGCTCCGGGGACTCCGCTCTCCTTCCACGGTGCTGTGTTTTTGCAGGTTCAGTTCATAAAGACCTCACTGCATTCTCTTCTAGTGCATAATGTCCTCGCAGCCCTGTGCATAATGTCCTCGCAGCCCTGTGCATAACGTCCTTGTATCGCTGTCCAGTGCTTAAGGGCCTCGTTGTCCAGTGCTTAAAGACCTCGTTGTCCAGTGCTTAAAGACCTCGCTGTTCAGTGCTTAATGTCCTTAATGTCCTCGTACAACAAGACCGTTTGAAGATATAGAAATTTATTTTCAACTTTGTTTATTTTGTAATATTCTAAATAAATTATAAATTCAGAATTTTATTTATTATTTATTTCCGTGGCCGTTCATCTTCCTCGTCCGTTGTAATCCGTACAAGAATTGTAACAAAAAAACATCTTCATAATAATAGTATTATAAGTAATTTTTACATTACTCACGTGTTTCTTTTCTCTAATTGAATATTTGAATGTATATATGTTTTTAACTTTTTTTCCTTTCAAAGGACAACCACATAGTACATATAAAAACTTAATGAATAAAAAATGAGAAATGAGCTTTAGTCTAAAAAGGGAATGTTTCATTGATTTTTGTATCATGAAAATGAATCAATAAAGTCTTTTTTTGGATAAAAATGAAAATTTTTAATTTGAGATAAATGAAGTGTACATTAATTCTTTTTATTTAATTGATTTTTTATTGCAAACACAAAAAATTTTGATTATTAAAACATGTTGGAGTTCCCACATCCAACAACTAGGATGAATTAAACTCGGACCGGACCTGCACCAACATGGTATCAGAGCAGGCCCGGTCCGGGTTTGACTTCAAATTCGGTGGGCCGAGAACAACGGATGGAGTGTCGGGTAATTTAACCACTTGCATATAAAGTCGTGATCCACTGTTTTAACCCAAAAGTTTAAGCTGATAGGTAGGGTTTCACCCTTCTATATATGGGGACGGGTAGCTTTTTTTTGTTAAACCCACGTCCAACAACCACGAAGAATCGAACCTAGACCGGAACTGCTCCGATTCCATGTTAAAATTCTGGTGGGCCGAGAACAACGGGTAGAGTGTCAGATAAAATTAACTACTTGCGTATAACGTCTGGATCTGTTTTCTAACCCAAAAGCATAAGCTGATAGGTAAGGCTTCACCCTTCTATATATGTTAGCAGTATTCGTCTTTATTTTCCGAGGTGAGAACTCCAACAAAACATTATATAAAAAAATTGAAAAAAAAGAAATTAAAAAAACTTATGAAAAAAATAATAGAAAAAAAAAAAGAAAAACAATAAAGAAAATCTTGTAGCATTTAAAACAGAAAAAAAAGTCCCAACAGATTGATTAAATAGGGAAAAATTAAAGATTGAGAAGAGAATAAAACCCTACAATTGTGTTTTTTTAACAATAAAAAATGGCAGCTAAATACACCAGGTTGAATAAATAAAAATGACGGATGCGATGCTTCTATGGAGTTTGGCCCTTGTTCTAGCAATAGCAAATTCACTAAAAAAAGGAATTCAGGAACGCACACGCGCTGGCATTCTAAGACGTTATCCAGAAAGTTTGACCTTGTGCATAGTGAAAAAAAAGAACTTAAATTAGAACGGATGGTGTATATAAATGTATATTTTATTTTTATGCCAATTTTTAAATATAATAATTTCAAAAAACACAAGGTTTTGCATCGTAATCCAAAAATTATAATCTAATTTGAGACGGGAGAGTAGCCTACGGTTTTGGCGATTCGGTTTTTACCCAAAACTAAAGACAAAACGGAAGGTAAGTTGGCGGTTCGGTTCGGTTCGGTTTTGCATAAAAAATATGTAAACCGTTGGTTATTCGGTTCGGTTTTATGCGGTTTTTATCTTGGTTTTTTTCAGTTTTCTCGGTTTATAAAAGTAAATATTTATAAGCATTAAAAATTGTATAAATACTAACTCGACGAAGCAATAACAATACGTAAGTTTGGTTTGGTTTTTTTGCTTGATTTTTACACACAAAAAAAAGCCGAGCGGAAGGTTAGTGTTCTCATTGGTTCAATTTTATATATAAAATATGTGTCAAGTGCCTAACAAACATCTAGAAGATTCTAAATAATCTTAAAATATTGTATGTAAAATCAACTGCAGAGAACTTGGATTTTTTTATATAATACTTTTATTTTCATTATTACATCAAAGTTTTTTTATTTAAATATGTTAACTACTCATTTTAATTTTTAATGTAATATAATTCTATATTAGGATTAGTTATTGGTGTTTATATTCTTAGATTTTTTAAAGTTTATAATATGGTTAATATGTTTAATTAATAGTTAAGAAAAAAACTTTAATTGACTAGTAATTTATTTGCATTTTTGTTTATATGATTTTTATACATATCACATATACTCATATAAATAAAATGAAGCATATAAATAAGTTCGGTTTATTCGATTCGGTTCGGTTTTTCAAAGTAAAAACCAAAACGGAACCAAACAATAACGGTTCGGTTCGGTTTTTTTACATTCGGTTTCGGTTCGGTTTTTTTTCTAGCTCGTTTCGATCGATTTCGGTTCGGTTTTCGGTTTTCCGGACCCAGCCCTAGATATAACATTGTGAAATGAAATTTACACTCCACTTTTTGTTATTGGCACTCCAAAACACACTATTCATATGAGAGTAAATAGTATAATTTGAAGTGTCAACATAAAAAATTGAAGTGCAAATATCATTTCCCACTCAACACTAGTCCCCTGAGCAGTTGAGCTCAAGCTTGACCTTTGCAACCCGAACTTGAAATTCACAGACTTTTGTTTTGGCAATGAACCGAGCTGGAACTGAACTATAAAAACTGGAATAGGACTCTGAACACGGATTGAACTCAAAAAAAAATTACTCCGTAAAAGAAAACCAAATCAAGTTCATAGATTATTTAGTTTGATTCGGTTCGATTACAATTTACAACCAATAGGACGGCTCACCATGTCTAAAGGCAAGCAAAGCAGAATAGCTAATCGAGGAATAGTACAAGCAATTTATTTATGGGGAATCCGAAGTTACACAGCATGGAGATGGACCTTCTTCTCATTCTGAGTTCAAAATGCAACATCGTCATAGGAAGACACCATGTTGAGGGCATAAACTGGATCTCCCACTTTAATAGCTTTTCTTTTAGCTTGAAGGGAGCGATCACTTGAGACAAGTAGTTGTCCGAAGTACACCTGAACATAAAATTATCGAGCATTGAATTTGTTAAACACTTTTAGAGGATATATCAACCAAATGCCAAAAGTTAAACAATAAAGATTCCAGTTAAACAATAAAGATTCACTTGAGACAATGAATTTGTTAAACCTTTCCAGGTGGCTTGTTATCTGAACGCAAGCTCTCGGTTGAGCGGAATTTCATAAGAGTTTGAGTTGGCTCAGATCCCAGTTCTCCAGTCTCTTGATTAACTCTGGGCACCTGATGAATTATAACAAGCAATAGCTTTTTGTTTAAAAAATCTAAAATATCTTTATCAGATCAATTGTCTAAAATGGAGCTGAAGTAGAAGTTCCTTGTAGATGAATGTGAGAACCATGAAATCAGAATAAATTTGAATCCCAAAAGGCAAAGGAAATTACCTTACAGCGTTCACATAGTTGGGCAGCGTTAAATTTCAGTCCATTTATCTTGATCTTTTTCCAAAGATCTTCAGCGAATGGTTCGCATCCATCCACAATAATGCTGCAAGCAAATTCCAGATTTCAAAGGATTTAACTATAAAGTTTAGACAAATTGATATAGTACAGACCAAATATGATGTTTACAACATTTACTTGGGTCTAAATCTATTCATTGATACAGGCTCTTCCAACTTCTCATTCAAAGCATCCAGTGATTTCTAGCAACAATGAAGAAACGAAAGAAGATGAAGGACTTGGTAACCAGAATCATAGCTCTAAACAAACCGGTTAACGGGATGTTCAGTTAACCAATATTCAATTAACTGGAATTCTGGTTGGATAATACTGTGAACCAAAACTAAACCAAAACTATCGGTTAATCAAAAATTTGGGTAACCAAAATTTATGATCCAAAATCGTTCCAGAAAACCCAGTTTTTCAGGCGGGTTATCCATCAGCATTTTTTGTTTGGTTGTCATTTAACCGGCTATCAAATACTCCATATTATTTTACACTTTTTCTTTCAATTTAAGTTGTTGACACTTGAATAATCTAACAAAAGATTAAACAAAACAAACATGTAAAATATACACACAAAAAATACTTAAGTTTTTCAAAGGAAAAAACAATGAAATATCCATTAACCATTCCTCAACCGACCACGGAACCACCTCTTTTTTTGGTACAAGTATCTCTCACCTGGGATGCCAGGAGAACTGGATAGGCATCATTAAACTTGATCTTGTGGTCAGAAGCATACTTGTCCACAGGAACAGGCCTACTCGCTGATGCTGCATGACCGACAATGAAAAAAAGAGACATTTTACTGGTGTTGTGTTGTAAGATGAGAATGACTTTGATGGAAACAATCCCAGGTTTCCTATTTCTAGCTGTTATTGGGAGTTAATTTGTTCATTCAGCCGATGTGGCCGATGTGTGAGGCTGATACAATTTGATAATAACCTGTCTTATTGAACAATGAAGGTTTGCAAGAGAGAATCATAACCAAAGTAGAATAACAATTATAGAAGCAATAAAATAAGGAAAGAAATAAATAATAATATCTCGTTTCCTATTAGAGGCAAGTACCTTCATGAAAGCGCACAAGTCGGGTAGGTTGGCCCAGATACTGGGTGAACCACTCGGCTGCTTCGTCCCCTTCGTCCAAGGCAGAACCAGTCCAATTCCACAGAGCGATACCATCGGACACAGAACAAGGTTCGATCAATGGGACCTTCAGAACATCATTCATTCCTGCAGCCCTAATCTCTGTCATCAGATTGATGGAAAAAAAGTCATGAAATTGATCGAATACAGTATAAGAGCTAGAGAACTGAAAGTAAGGCCGGATTCAATTCAGTTCAAAATGGGAGGAAACCTACCTAGAAACGAGTCGCTTTGGGGCTCCCAGTCCTCGCGAAAAGCCTCAGCCGGCAATTCCACTTCAACCAGAGCAAGCTTGGGGTGAACTCTTTGAGTGACTCCTCTCCCACTTGAATTCACCACCAGCCATAGACGATCCCACCGAAACCCTAATTGCACAAAAAAAATTCAAAATCACGTTTACATACGAGCAATAATGGAAAACTCGACCTAGAACTGATTTTTTTTATATAACTTACCAGTAGAACTGAAGGCAGCTTCGGAAACAGAAATATAACGGCACGATTTGATTGGGTAAATCCAGATTGACTCCACTTTTCCGGCTTCTTCTTCTTCACATTCCTCAGTTGTTAATTCTTCCTTCCATAGAAATCTGCGAATCATGCTAGTAAAGCCCATGCTTAAGCAATTTGAATATCTAATATTTCTTCTGCCGGCCTCTTTCCTTACTATTTCTCTTCATGTTCGGGCGGGTCAGTATATATTGCCCCATGCAAATGGGGGAGGGAATTCGGAAAAGGGAAAGAGTACTCTGTAAGCTGACTAGAGTAGTGGCCTGGAAGGAAGGAAGAGGGAATCCCGAATAAAGCCCAATTACGAAAATATGTGACGCACACTAGTGGTTTGGTCCACAGAAGAATCCAAACATGGAAAGATGCCATTAATGATTGGGTCTTAGTGAACACTTATGTGCCATTAGTGAGTAAGTTCCTTCTATTTAGTCTATATTTATCAAATATTATGTTGATGGTCCTTAATAATTAGGTATCATTCCATATTTGATTCTTTGTCTATTTTTTCATCTTCATGCCGTTAGACAAGGACTAATCGTAGAATGATATCCAATTAATAAGAACTGCGAATATTTGATAAATATGGACTAAGTATGAGAAATAACCGGTTATAAATGATTATTTAGGAAATTTACTTTTTTTAAACCACTTTTAATATAAAAATTAATAAATATGAAAAATATATGATTCTAGTTTTTTTATAAAAAGTTTAAAAAAAAATTTGCACAAAAACACAACTTCATTCCACAAACAATCAGAGTACACAGGATTACTACCCCCAAACTAACTCAACCTCTTGTATACAAAATAGCTACGAATATAACTATGAGCAAACTCAACAGATTCATCTAAGGTACATCTCTTTTGATGACAACGCTTGTTCCTCAACCTCAATATGCAATACATACTGCCTGCCCATATTGCACTAAGTTGTTGCCTGTTCCTCTTCAGCCCCTTCCTCTGAATGATGCCCTCTAGCACCTGGTGACTTGTCATCCCCTGTATGTTGAATTTAGACATGCATGATTTAAGTATATTTTGACCCACATCACACTCCCAAAACAGATGTCTATCTGTTTCCTTTGCTTGTCCACACAGAACACAGTTCTGGTCAATCTCCATATATTTGCCCAGCCTCTCTTTGGTCTGCAGTCTTCCCTTCATAAGCAGCCAGGTCATACACTGCATTTTAGGTGGAGTAATAGAATTCCACACTACATCTTTCCATTCTGGAATATCCTTTGTGCCTTGAAGCCAATCATACCCATCCTTAATTTTGTACTCCAGGACCTTTGGCATATCTTTAAACTTTTCTCTCACTTTGATCATTTTTGTCCAATAGTGACAAACATCCTTCTTTGGTTTGTATTCCCAGTAGTCAGATCCCTTTAAGTATTTACTATGTATCCACTTCACCCATAACACATCCTTCTTTCCAGCCACATCCCAATTTAACTTCATTATGGCTGCATGATTCCAGTTTAAAGCATTCATTATTCCCAGCCCTCCAAACTTCTTCTTCTGGCACACCTCTTCCCAGTTAACCAGAGGCACCTTAGTATAATTAGAAGAACTCCCCCATAAAAAGTTAAAATTTGTACGCCATAAAAAATGGTTTTCATTTTTTTATACGAGAATCACTTTGGAATAGATAGAAATAAAAAAGAAATTGAATGTTATTATCACACTTTAACAACATAGGAGCTTCATATTTTTTATCTCTAAAATAGGAGTACAATGATAATAATGCCAATATAGTACCAAAAAATACGGTGAGATACCACTATACAATGTTATTATGTCACAATGTAAACTCGTATTTTGGTAAAAGAACATGAAATCTTATTTTGAGAATAAATTGTTAGTCTATTTCACATCGGAAGTTGAACAGAAAAATAATCGATATATAAGCTCTTGGTTTCTTCTGTTTGGTCAATTTATTCAGTCTCTAGGCTTTCGAGAATGCAAAATACACACATCTCTTTGTGTATACATGCATGGGACGGATGTTGCTTATTTACTCTTATTTGTTGATGACATTGTGCTCATTGTCTCTTTTTCCTCTCTCCTACAAAAATTTTTTCATAAACTAAAGGGAGAATTTGCTATGACAGATATGGAGGATCTGCACTTTTTCTTGGCATTAATGTTCAACGAACCACGCATGGTATTTTTATTCATCAAACACAGTTCATTCATGAGATTCTTGAACAGGCTGGCATGATTAATTGCAAGCCCATTTATATTCCTGTTAACACTAGAGGAAAACTAGCTACTGCCTCTGGGCCTCCTGTGCCTGATCGTTCACTTATCAATCTATTGCTGGAGCTCTTTAATTAGTACCTCACTTTCACTCGTCTAGATCTCACTTATGCTGTGCAGCATCTTTGTCTCCATCTTAATGACCCGTGCATTCCTCATATATCTAACATCCTTGAAGTGGGTGCTCCATTACCTTCATGGGACCTCCTCCCATGGCATCACTCTAAACAAATCATCTACTGATTCCTTACAAGCCTACTCCGAAGCTGATTGCGCAGGATGTCTCGATACTCGAAGATGTACCTCTGGTTATTGGGTATTTTTAAGGGATAATCTTATATATTGGTCCTCTAAACGTCAGGACACCACCTCACGCTTTAGTGTTGAAGCTTAATATCGGGCTGGTGCAAATGTTGTTGCTGAAACGTGTTGGGTCCAGAACCTCCTTTTGGAACTACACCAACCACTACACCAAGCCACACTTTTGTATTGTGATAATGTCAGTGCTTTGTATTTGTCATCTAACCATGTCCAGCATCAACGCACAAAGCATGTTGAGGTTGATATCCATTTTGTACGTGATAAAGTAGCGTTAGGGCATTCGCGTCCTCCATGTGCTATCTTCAATTCAGTATGCAGATATTTTCACCAAAGGACTTCCTTCTCTTCTCTTCCTTGGTTTTCAAGAAAGTCTTGGCGTCAAATCTCTCTTGGACATGACGTCGGGAGTATGTTAAATATTACTCATATTTAATATTGTATATTTAATTTTTATCATTCCACCTTAATGTATGTCTTTTAGCTTTCCATCTTTTGTAACTCTCACCACCTTGTTATTTATACCATGAGACATCATCTTGTAAAGTGGTGGAAAAGATTAATTATTAGTTTATTTCATGGTATCAGAGCAATGACTTTGTCACTGCCCTCTATCTTCTGTTTCTTATCTTCCGTATCCCCTCCACCGGATGTGAAGTTTTTGTTATAGAAAATTTGTAGCTATTCTCTTCTATCGCCCTCTGTTACAAATGATTCCTGCGTTGGAGGCAATAAGCGGAATGTGATAAACAACGACACCGTAGACGGGGACGAGCAGGAAGCGACCACCGAAGTGCCAGAGGACGTGTTGCATGGGGATGACGTCCATGCATGGGAGGAGCCGGGCATTGGGGCGCGGCGTAGCACACGGACGAGGAGGACATCGGCGTGGCATGAGGACTACGTCGAATGATGTCATCATTGAGTTGGTTATTAATTAGCATTACTTATTAATTATGTAATTTAGATTTTTGTTAGGTGGGCGGAATTATAAGCCCCTTCGAGGGTTTCTTTTCGGTTCTTTACCTCGATGCTTTTCTTGAACTGACATGGTAGAAAACGTAGTAATTAGGATTGGGGAAAACTCTATATAAGGAGGTTGTATCCAAGGAACTAGATGTCAGAAAATAATACAACTCTTCTTCCCCCAAACTTCTTCCTCTTCCTAAACCCTAGCTTTACCTCTCTTCCCTTCCCTCTCCTCTCTCTGTTGTGCTTCTCTGTCCTCTTGGTTTGTGCGCAGGTGTGGCGTGAAGGAGCCTGTAATCCTTCCCTGATAAGTTCAACGTATCAATTGGTGCACTCGTTGTTCTGCTTCCATGTCGAGTGAGGAGAATTCGTCACCCCACCATGATCAACGGGACGAGCGCATCGACGACCTACAGCATACCATGCATCAGATGCAGCAAGATCTAGAGTCCAAATTTGCTAGGTGGGAAGCTCTGGTGTTGGCGAACAGGCCACCACTCCTGCCACATCCTATCGGCAACGTCGGCAACCATATTCCGGGGGAGTCCTCCTTGGGTCCACATGGCAGGCTGCCAAAACCAAAGCTCGATGCCCCAAAAACGGATGGGTCTCATCCACTCCGATGGCTATATAAGGTCCAAGAATATTTTGCCTTTTACGACACTCCACCAACGGAACGGTTACGCTGCGTCACGTTGATGCCTGAAGGGACGGTGGCCGATTGGTATCATTGGAGGCGAAAGGGCAACATGATTACTAGTTGGGAGGATTTCATGACGAAATTCAAGCTTCGTTTCAACCCACTCCATTATGTTGATTACTTCGGGCAATTGGTGAAACTTCGTCAAAGCGTAGTCATGGAGTACCAAACCGAATTTGAAAGAATCCTTCAACATCTGTCGGGGGCACCGGAAGCGAACCTCGTCTCTTTGTTCCACTCCGGTCTAAAGCCCTACATGCACCATGAGATTGCGTTATTGGCACCCGAGTCCCTCGCAGATTCTTTCGCCCTAGCCCGGGAACCGGAAGCGAAACATGCAGCCCTCTTACTGTTAGTTCCTCCTCGACATGGGTCGGGTTTCCCCGGGGGTCTGTCCAAGGCCGCTCCAGTCACTCCTCCACCCCGGCCTACAGGTTCTCCACCCGGCACAGATTCCAAACCAGCCTTGGCTACACCTATTCGACAACTTACTCGGGCAGAAAAACTGGAAAAAGATGCCAAAGGTCTCTGCTATAATTGCGACTAACGGTGGACTAAGGGCCACCGTTGTGGGCGCGTGTTGTTACTCATTAGCGACGACGACGACGCACCATATGAGGAAGTTACCTCTGCGGACGAGGAGGAGCCGTGTGTGACAGCGGATATCTCGAGCCTGCAAAGCTTGACCGACACTACCACACCTCGTTCGTTGCGCCTTGCGGGTACCATTCAAACCACGGAGCTTCAGGTCCTCATTGATGGGGGGAAGTACTCATAACTTTGTTCACCCTCGTTTGGTCGCCAAGGTGCCATTACCGATTACCCATGTTCCACCCTTTCGGGTCTACGTCGGCAACGGGGACTATCTCGTCTGTGACACCCAGTGTAGCGCGGTTCCCTTACAACTCCAAGGCACTACCTTCACCGTGGATCTTTTTGTCTTGCAAATTCACGGTCCGGACTTTGTCTTGGGGTTACAGTGGCTGCAAACCTTGGGCAAAGTGGTCCACGACTACTCGTCTTTAACCATGGAGTTCAACTGGGACAACCGTCTGGTGACGTTGCACGGACTGCCGCAGCCCCAAGTCCGTGTCGCTACAGGTTTTTGCACGCTATTACCCAACTAGGGGTGGTGTAAGACTGTGTGGAAGTCTTCTGTTTGGACTTAGCGCAGGAAATGCCAGCCGTTCTACCTCCACAGCCGCTGCCAAAACCTATCCAGCAGGTTCTCACCGCCCATGCTCCAATTTTTTCCTTGTCGACCACACTACCGCCACGGCGCACGGTGGACCACCGTATTTTCCTCTAAGCCGGAATGCCGCCGGTCAACGTTCGGCCATACCGATACCCCCACTTTCAGAAGGATGAAATAGAACGCCTTGTGAAGGAGATGTTGGAGCAGTGGTTCATCCGGCCGAGCCGAAGCCCATTTTCATCCCCGGTATTACTGGTTAAAAAGAAGGATGGCTCGTATCGCTTTTGTGTGGACTATAGGGCGTTGAATGCCGTCACCATCCCAGATCACTTCCCCATCCTGACCCCGATGAACTTTTCGACGAACTCGGCCAAGCACGCTACTTTGGGTTGACTAACGCCCCGTCCACATTCCAGGCTTGCATGAACCGCCTCTTTGGACCGTACTTATGGTGCTTTGTCATTGTGTTTTTTGATGATATTCTGGTTTACAGTGCTACTTTGGATGTCCATGCCGAATAATTACAGGTTGTGTTGGAGATGCTGGAGCGACATCAGTTCTACGTCAAATATTTAAAATGCTCTTTTTGCCAAACCTCGGTGGAATATTTGGGTCACGTGGTGACTGAAGGGAAGCTAGTGGCCGACCCCTCCAAGCTTTCGGCCATGGTCTCCTGGCCGACACCTAAGACCCTTAAACAGCTACGCGGGTTCCTTGGTCTCGCGGGTTATTACCGTTGTTTTATCCGACACTATTCTCATATTGCGGCACCATTAACTAATCTCTTGAAGAAGGATGCATTCTCGTGGGATGACCGTGCCCAAGCCACATTTGAAGCTCTCAAGAAGGCCATGAAAGCTACGCCCGTCATCAACTTGCCTAACTTTTCCTTTCTATTTGTGGTCGAAACGGACGCAAGCGCGGTCGGCATTAGGGTTGTCCTCCTCTAAAAAGAGCAGCCGGTGGCCTTCTTTAGTAAGAAATTGGGGCAGCGCCGGGCAGCGGCATCAGCGTACCATCGCGAGTTTTATGCCATAGTGGAAGTAGTACAAAAGTGGCGGCAATACTTACTCGGGCGAGCCTTCATCATCCCTACGGATCAATGCAGCCTGAAGGAGCTCTGGCAACAGGTTATTCAGACACCCAATCAAAAGTTTTACATCCGCAAGTTGCTGGGTTTCCGCTTCTAGATTGTGTACAAACCAGGTGCATCTAATCGGGTGGCCGATGCGTTGTCCCGACGGGATGATACACTCGTGATGGGCCACGCTTTCATGCTCCTATCACAACCGGTCCCCGCCCTCTTGCAGAAAATCCGTGAGGAAAACTTGACGCAATCGGACCTGCGGAACCACCATGCCGAATGGGGCAGGAGCACCCTCTCCCTAGAGTACACTGTGGCAGATGCTATTGGCGGCACATCTGCATCGGGGCGGCCTCCGACCTACGGTCACTGCTCATTCGGGAGTACCACAACACACCTATGGCGGGGCATTCGGGGATCCACCGTATCTTTCAGCGCCTAGCCATGGTCTTTTATTGGCCGACGATGCGATCAGACGTCCGGCGGTACGTCTCCCAGTGTCTTATTTGCCAAACAATGATGGGAAGATGTGTCAATGGACTTCATCATCGGTTTACCCCCATCCCGACATTTCACCATTATTCTTGTGATGGTGGACCGTATTTCGAAATTCATTCACTTGGGGACTTTACCAACGGATTTCGACGCACATCGGGTAACATTCCTCTTTGTTGATATGGTGGTCAAGCTCCACGGCTTTCCCAAGACAATTGTGTCGGATTGCGACCGGGTTTTCACGAGCAAATTCGGGCGGCACTTGTTGAAATTGAGCGGCACAACTCTCCATCATAGTACGGCGTTTCACCTACAAACGGATGGGCAGACAGAGGCCATGAACCGGGGGGTCGAACAATACCTCCGTGCCTTCACCCATGACTCTCCCGCATGTTGGACGGTCCTCCTGCCATGGGCCAAGTATGCCCTCAATACGAGCTTCCACAGTGAGTTGGGCATGACGCTGTTCCAAGCGTTGTATGGGAAGGAGCCGCCCTCATTTCTGCCGTACGGTCCAGGTGAGTGCTCCCAGCCGACGGTCGATCAGCTACTCACGGAACACACGGAGACCTTGGCGAGGTTGCGCAGCATCTCCTGGAGGGGCAACAACGCATGTGTAAGGGAGCCAATAAGCACAGACGGGCAGTGAACTTTGAAGTGGGCGACTTGGTGCTATTGAAGCTTCAACCGTATAGGCAACATTCGGTGGCCGCCCGTTCCTCAAAACAATTGGCGCGAAGATACTACGGGCCTTTTGAACTGACATGGTAGAAAACGTAGTAATTAGGATTGGGGAAAACTCTATATAAGGAGGTTGTATCCAAGGCACTAGATATCAGAAAATAATACAACTCTTCTTCCCCCAAACTTTTTCCTCTTCCTAAACCCTAGCTTTACCTCTCTTCCCTTCCCTCTCCTCTCTCGACTGTGCTTCTCTGTCCTCTTGGTTTGTGCGCAGGTGGCGTGAAGGAGCCTGTAATCCTTCCCTAATTAGTTCAACGTATCACCCTCATTCTATTGCATCCTTCTTTTGCAGCAAAATTCAACATTTCTTGTCTATTGTTCTTTTATTTTTATGGCCTCTTCACCCGAATATTCATTCACCTTCACAAGCATGACTCCCAACATACTGCATCTTGCCTTCACAACCAGCTCAAATATCAATCATCATATTCCTGTTCAACTCAGCATTTCAGATCCTAATTATAAAAAATGGAGCAAGTTGTGTTAGTCGTTATGCCCACGCCTTGGAGGGGATGATGAATAAGGAGTTAAAAAACTTTTCGGAGTTTGATAAAAACGATGTTGGCAAATGCGGAAGCAATAAATAAATCGCATATATTAAGTTTTTTTAAATGTTTGAAATTTTTACATTACCAGGTTAATACTTTAGTCCAAAAGGGGCTGCAGACCTGGACGGATTAGGGTGTTACAATTTGGTATCAAAGCTCAACGAACGAACGGGAGCAAAAACAACATCAAAAATATAGTTTTAAGAACCGGACCGGGGGTCGAACCAGTCCAGGTTCTGGTTCCCTACACACACACACACACACACTCATATATATATATATATATATATATATATATATATATATATATATATATATATATATACATATTTTGTATAAAATTAAAATAACTTCTTTCATATGTACATAAAATTTTTTGATATTTGATTGAAATTTTAATCACTCTAACTTATTTTTTTAGTCAATTTATATTTAAAATAAAATTGACGTATCGAGAAGTACATTAAAAGTCTTATAAAATAATGATATTGTATTTTTCTTTATATATTTTGCCTAATATCCAAAAATATTAAAATGAATTTTTTTCGCGACATGTACTCCGTATTAGAATTATTTCTATTTTTAAATGTTAAGACTTAAGAATCTTAGTTTAAGAAATAAAGAAATCTTTTAATTCATATTTACTCTTATAATTAAGGAATATATACTCCTTAGAACCAATATGTATCAAAAAACGTTCTTGGTTTGTTTGTTGATAGCTTTGTGTAGCAACCAATTGGTTAAGTGTTTGAACCTTAGTGGAGGAATAAACATTTTGGCCAAATTTGCAAAAAAAAAACTGATTCGACCAGGTGAACCGGCCGGTTCACACCGGTTCGAACTGATTCAATGCACGATGCGGTCCAAAGGGCCGGACCGGACCGGTTCGACCTTCAGTTCACCGGTTCCTGGTCTGAATCGGCCGGTCCGGTTTGGTTTTTAAAACTATGATCAAAAATATCAAAAACTGTCGCCACTGTACTAGCCCTGGTTTTCGAGTCATATTTCCTTCGTTACTCAACGAAATCGCGAACCGTTTGAAGCTACGGATTCGTAAGACATAAGGCTACAACTTTTGTTTAGAAACCAGATTAAAATAACGAAGTTTAGATGGTGTAAAAATGCTCACAAGTGGACTGATTTGCACAGGGAATATTTTCTTCATTCAATTTAAAAGATTTATTTTAATAAATTATTTTACAAAAGTTCACATCTTTAACCACTTCTCATTTTTATGCAAATTACATATTTAAAATGTCACAACTCAAAATCAGTACATTAAACATGTTCATAAAATATACCGTTCGATTCAACTCTTCAAGACCTATTCATAAAACAAAATTTAAAAAACCATCATTGACTCCAAAAATTCCTTTATTTTTGGTCAAACATAGAAATAATATTTTGTTGGGTTAAAATATTGTTTCTAAAATACTTTTATTATAGAATAACTTTTAGGGAAAAATTACTAGCATAATTATCTCTAGAACGCTCTTCGTAGTTCATGTGTCTCAACTAGAGGTCAGATTCTTTTGTGGTTGGCTCTTGGACCAATCCCTTCAACCACACATATCGTTTCTTGCCCGCCAAGAAAGGTATAATTTTCTAACATTAACTTATAATCTTCATTAGAGGTCTTAAGTGGATCTACGTTTGGACACAAATTTTATATTTCCGCTGCCCTATCCAAGTGTAGGTCCCAAAAATTTTGCTTTAGGATAAATGTCACAGCATCTGAACAAATTAGAATCACTATCATCAAATGTACAGATCTGTTTGAGTTTGTAAAAAGGAAAATGGCCTAATCTTTTATGCCAGACTTGTACATCAAGGTTATTACAAGCTTTATAACATTGAGAAGATGGAACAGAAGTAGATGAAACAGCAATATTATGATTGAAAAGAGATCTTGAGTTCTGTTGATAAGCTTGAGTCAGGTACAAATCACCTTGCCTTTTACGAACCTCCACTAACTTCTTCTTGAAATGGTCCTGTAATGTACATGCATATTATGTAAAACACGCATGTACATTAAGTTGTTTGCACAATTTTCCTACTGATAACAAATTATACTTGAACTCTGATACAAATAGGATTTCATCCAGAACAATGTCATTAGGTAAATGAGTAACACCACTTTAAAGGGTAGTGACAATATGGTTGTTAGGCAGGGTGATTTGACGAGGAAAAGGAAGGTTTGTGAGCTTAGTGATAAGGTTAGGATTAGAACATATATGGTCAGTGGCTCCCGTATTTAATATCCAAGCAGAGTCATCAATTTAATGCACATTGTTACATATATGAGTATCCAAAAGAGTAGAGGAAGACAAAAGCGTACATGCCATATGAGCAGAAAAGGCTTGATTCATAGAGTTTGAAGGAGAGTTGAGTTTGTCTCCATGGATAGAACTCAGAAGCCTCATGAGTTGGTTGCATAACTCTAGTGAAATTTGACTCTCTGTCATGGATTCAATAGAGTCACCATATTCCCCTCCATAAGCATTTGCAGTAATCTTCTTTCCTTTAGTGAATTTAAAATCCTTGGGAAAGCCACTAGAATTTTGAGTCACCACATTCCCCTCCATAAGCATGTGACCTTTCTTCTTACAATTTTGACACACGAGAATCTTCCTATCCTCATGTGTTGCATTGAACGATGTTTGAGTTTAAACATTTAGAGAGGTATGCTCTAAGGAGATTTGTGTAGGGGACTAAATTTGTCTCTACATTTCCTCGTGAATAAGGATCCCATAAGCCACTGGAATTGAAGGTAGAGGCCTCATAATAAGAATATTACCTCTGGTCACATTATAATCAGAGTTTAATCTCATCAGAAACTGAACAAATCTTTGATCTTATTCATACTTCAGAACCTCATGGTCAGCACCACATGAACAATCGGGAAGATGAGTAACCATAGCCAATTCATCCCAAACTCTCTTGATTCTGGTGTATTAACCTGCTATGTCAGAGTTTCCTTGAGTAATCGAACACATCTCCTTCTGCAATTGGTATAGGCGAGCTCCATTTGACTGACCAAATCTGTTGTTGAGCTGATTCCACAAATCAGCCACTGTATTAGCATTGAGAACATTTTCTCCTATCTCCTTTCTCAGAGTATTGAGAATCAAAGATGTTATCATCTCATTACAATGCTGTCAGAAGCTGGCCTTCAAAGGATCTGTTGGCTTGGCGATTCTTCCTTTCACGAAATCAAGCTTGTTCTTGGCAAAGAGAGCAACCATCATTGATTTTTGCCAAGAACCAAAGCCATATCCATCAAATTTTTGAGAT